AATTCTCCTTCCAATTGCCTCTTAGCTACATACTGGGAGCAGGGGACATGTGTCAAGGCACCAGCAGGAGTAGTTCCCCAACAGAAACTAAAAGAACATTGGGGTTTCTGGACTACTCTTGAATCGGCATGAAACTGTGGTGTGATGTAGTACAGTGGTCCCCAACCTTGGGCCTCCCGATGTTCTTGGCCTTCAACTCCCAGAAAGGGAGCAGAGGACATGTGTCAAGGCACCAGCAGGAGTAGTTCCCCAACAGAAACTAAAAGAACATTGGGGATTCTGGACTACTCTTGAATTGGCATGAAACTGTGGTGTGATGTAGTAGACAGAGTGGTGATAATGAGTCTGTGGGGTAAAGAAATAGTTGCACTGGGACTGAGACTTCCAGTCACTTTAAAATTTTTATATCTGACCTATATATGTAGTATGGATGTTTTGTTCTTGTTGTCTTCTGTTGTTTTTGTTGTGTCATACTCTGTTTTTTATGTATGAATAATAATAAAATAGTTTTTTAAAAAAGATTTTTATATGTGATCCATTGATTTAAGCATTTTGTCAATTATTTGTCTCTACAACAACTATAACATTCCTTTCTTTTCCTTTCTTTTCTCCATCTTCCTTTTCCTTTTTTTCCTTCTTTGCATCTGGCCAAAAAGCACTTTTTAATAGAAACCAGAATTACCTTTTTAAACTATAGTTCTTCAAACTACATGTATAGTTCCAAGCCACTGTTGGAAACCAACTTTTATTCGCAACAGATTGACTGAATTATGTTTAGGAAAAGGAATCCGTCAGTGTGCAAGAGAGAAAAGGAGGGAAAGTGTGGGCCTGCAGGCATTCTCAGTCTCCCAAATCATCCACAGCCATTCTCAACTTTTTTTTTGCCACAGCCCTAAATACAATAAGAAAGAAATCCTTGAATCAGGATTATGTAAACTGCAGGCATTCTCAGTCTCCCAAATCATCCACAGCCATTCTCAACTTTTTTTTTGCCACAGCCATAAATACAATAAGAAAGAAATCCCTGAATCAGGATTATGTAAGTCACATAACAGACCTTATAAGGTGATAGTGTGTGAAAAATTGTTTCCAATCTGTGTGCCCCTTAAAATCTGCCTGCCCACCCCCTGGGGGTGGTGGTCATTCATTCATTCATTCATTCATTCATTCATTCATTCATTCATTCATTCATTCATTTTATATCCCGCCTATCTGGTCGGGTCAGGACTACTCTAGGCACACGGGGACTCATATAGTCCCTGTTAAGAATGGCTGCTTAGAACATCACAGACATTGTACTTAAACTGAGCTATGGATCTTACTAACCAGCCAAATGAACTTCAGTGTTTGATATTAATGACAAGGAACCTTAGAGAATAACAGATTTTATTTGGCATATGCTTTTGTGGAATGCAAGACAGATGCTGAAGAAGTGGGCTATAAACACTAAAGCTTATGATCAACAAGGCTTATGACTCTTCAAGATGCCACAAGATTCCTTTGTTTTGATCCAACACACTGAAATGTCTAACCCCCTGGAAATCTTTGGTGTAAGTGCCCCTACCAATTTCCTAATTCTAAGAACCATAATCCTACTGGTGTCAGTAGCCCAAATAAATATGTTTGGGCTGATTTTGAAGCTTCCTCTGGGCAGACACAGTTACAGCTTCCATGTAAGCTCCAGTGTATGTGCTTTGACATGTCTGCAGATGCTTCCTGAGCTCTGATAAATGTCTTTGAAGCCATCACTAGGACCTAATATCCCACAGCACAGAGGACCAGTCAGAGTGCATTATATCCATTGCCTCATAATCTTTGGAAGGATGCAATCCTTCAAGGAATTTAGAGGATTTTGGGGGATAATCTTGTTTCTTAGTAATGATATTCTTGTAGCCTTGTGGTGCAGTGGTTAAACTGCTGTACTGCAGCCGAAACTGTGTTCACAACCTGGAGTTCAATCCCAGGTATGACTCGGCCTTTTTTAGCCTTCTGAGGTTGGCAAAATGAGTACCTAGCTTGATTAGGGGGGTGGGGTGAGGACAATGCGTAGCCTGCAGAATTAACTTGTAAACCTCCCAGAGAGTGCTTGAAGGACTATGGGGTGGTATATAAGCAGCACGCTTTGCTTTGCTTTAGTGATTCATCTGCATACTCGGTTGACAATTTATATTCAAAGTATAAAACTTCTACAACAAGGAAAGTTTTACACAACACGTATCTTCACAACAGGACTGGACATACTCGGTTGACAATTTATATTCAAAGTATAAAACTTCTACAACAAGGAAAGTTTTACACAACACGTATCTTCACAACAGGACTGGATGCCCAAGTATTTCTGTTTTACAGATGAGGAGACTAAACTAAGAACTCAGTCAGATGGACATTTGTCTCACTGTTTGGTGTGTGATGGGGATAGACTGTTTCACTCTTTTTTCCCAGCGATCAGACAACCTGATTGGTAAAATGATCCAATCCATCCCCAGAGCACCCCACCCACCTGCACGTTTTTAGGCCCTGTTAGGTACTTCCACTTTTTAAGGTGTGGTCACTTAAGCCTATGAGATCACTCAGAATGGATGGACATTTGTCTCACTGTTTGGTGTGTGATGGGGATAGACTGTTTCACTCTTTTTTCCCAGCGATCAGACAACCTGATTGGTAAAATGATCCAATCCATCCCCAGAGCACCCCACCCACCTGCACGTTTTTAGGCCCTGTTAGGTACTTCCACTTTTTAAGGTGTGGTCACTTAAGCCTATGAGATCACTCAGAATGGACCAAAATTAAGCCTTACAGCTGGCAAAGCTGCCAAGGCTCCTTCTGTTAATTTTTGGTATTATGACTTAGTAAGAGAGCTATTTAAGGATATCAGCAAGTTGAACACTTTCCCTGCTTCTCTGTGGAGTGGCATAGAAAGAGAAATTAATTTTTTT